TTATAGAGGGTGTTTTTAAACATTCGGCAAAAATTCAAGCGATTGCTCCTTGAATTATTCTAAGAATATTTTGTTCATTGATGATTTTTAAAATTCCGTTTCTTTCGTTTAGGAGATACAGGGCGCACAACATTTTCGAGAAAACTATTTATATTTTTTTGTTTTTTTTTTTTTTTTTTTTTTAATTTGGTGTCATCGGCATCGACTACTAAGGCCATTAGCCTCGTGTTCTGTGTAGGCTTTGTTATTGTTTCCCAGCGCCAGTTTAGGAACAGCACTGTTAATTAGAACCCAACAGTGAATGCTCGAGTGGGGAATCCTACCAAGGCATCAGAATTAATTTTAAATAATTAAATTAAATAAAAAAATCCCGGCCAACGGTGAGATTCGAACCTGGGATCCTTGGATCCACAGGCAGAGACTACCACTGAGCCACCCACCCCAACAATTTTTATTATTTTTAAAATTATTAATAGTCTAAATAAAAATAGGTACTGCACTGTGTTAAGCAAGAACGTACAACTTTTTTAAAAATTCGTTATTTTTATTGTTTTTTAACAACATTCCAATTACTAAAAACGGCTATTTTTTCCACTTAAAACAGGCAAAAGTTCAGACATCGAAAAGAAATACAGATTAAATCTGGATTTCATTTGAATTCGTCTAGTGATTGATAATTTGGTAGTTGAAATTTTGTTACTGACTTTATCATGAATCACTATACAGACGCCGAGATGACTGACATGCATTACATTTATGGTCTTGCTGAAGGAAATTTATTAGAAGTTCGGAGCTTGTACATTGGACGAATTCCTGACCGTAATATTCTTGAAAGACAATTGTTCCAAAATATTCATCAACGTCTTCATGACACAGGCGCATTGAGACGAAGTGGAGGACCAGGAAGGCCAAATACAGCAAGAACGGTGGAAGTGGAAGAAAATGTGCTGGACATGATCGAGGAAGATCCGTGTACTTCTACTCGAAAAATTGCAAATACTTTTAATGTAAGTTATTCGACTGTTTGGAAAATTCTTAGGGACAATTTATTATAACCATACCACATACAACGCGTTAAGGCACTTCTTCTTGCTGATTTTCCTCCACGTATTGCATTTTGTCAATGGCTTTTGCACACACTAGTGCAAATTCAAATTCCTCAACTACTGACGCTTATTCTTTATACCGATGACGCGAATTCCTCAAGAAATGCAATAAGCAATTTTCACAATAACCATGTATGGGCTGACGAAAATCCACATAAGGTAATTGAAAATCGTTTTCAACAACAGTTCTCGTTGAATGTTTGGATTGGAATTATGGATGACTGGATAATAGGGCCGGTATTTCTACCAGCAAGACTTACCAGTGAAGTGTATCGCAAGTTTTTTTAGAACAAACTCTACCTGATTTTCTGGATGATGTACCATTAACAATAAGAAATGCAATGTGGTTTATGCACGATGGTGCACCAGCGCATTTCAGTTTGGTTGCTCGTGCGTTTCTGACACTAAGATATGGAGATCGATGGATTAGTCGAGGAGGGCCTCATTTATGTCCCGCTCGTTCCCCGGACTTAAACACCCTAGATTATTTCCTATGGAGCCATCTAAAGTAATTAATGTATAGTACTCCAGTAGAAAATGTGGAAAACTTGCAAATTCGAATAATTGCTGGGTGTAACTCAATATGAAACGAACCTGGTGTTTTTGAAAGAGTTCGGCAGTCAATGAGGAGAAGATTGGATGCTTGCATTCTTGATGGAGGTAGTCATTTTTAACAGTTCTTGTAGATTAACTAACATTTACATGTATTTTTTGGTAATAAAATGATGTTAGTCTAAAATTTTGTTCGCCCTGTATATCTTTGTAAAAAAACGGATTTTCTAAAATTATCAAAGGACAAAATATTCTTAGAATAGTCCAAGGAACAACCCTTTGAATTTTTGCCGCATGTTTAAAAAACACCCTGTATAATACTATTTTAACTTTATGTTCACCTTCGCAGTGTAAGTAGCTACTTAGTATATCTGGAAGAAAATCAATGAATAAAGTTAATTATATTCGTAATCTGCCACTGTAGCCATATTACCAACAAACATAAGTTCTTTCATGTCGTTATCTCGGGTTTGATTTAATTGCGAATTTCTTAATTTTAATGGAGAAATAATTAATGACAGAAAAGGTTGTTTTTACAACAAATAAATGTAACGACAATTAATCGTTCCTTTATCCACATCAATTTTTTTCGTAATAATACTAAATCGGCGACAAATTAAAATTTAACATGTAAAATTAATCTTCTCTTCCGAAAAGAGCCATTTAATAGAAGTCAAAAAATGATATAGTTGAGCAGAATAATACATTGAGCGATAAAAAAAGAATCTTAGAGCAAAAGATTCAAATAATAGCTAATGTTCTATCATCATTCTACAAAGTACACAACTTTGTCACAACTGACGTTTTCCGCAAACTGATATTTAGTGATAGATTTTAATATTAATAATATTTTATTGATACATAAGATTGTTTTATGAAAAACACTCCATAAGAGGCATTTAATAATCTGATCAAAAGTTTGGACCCGGAACCGATTGCTTTACATCTCCTCCAAAACATGGCACACCCCACGCTATGCCTCGTACTCATTGGTATAACGCATGCATCCTGTATGGTATGAAACCTGCTTAACTGCAGATATTAATATACGCAGAAGTGAACTTGCTAAGCCAGGCCGCTGCCCCAGAAAAACTTATTTATAAAAGAAAAGCCGACTCTAAAAATTGGGAGTTTAATGATTTTCTCATCGATCCTATCATCAGATCTTGACCAAATTTATATGAGACCATCCCCGAAGGACCTCTTTTCTATCAAAGAAAGAATCATAGAAATCGGACTACGTGGTAAAGAAAAATCGCTGAACATATAGAAAAAAAATATTCCGACGAATTGAGAACTTCCTCCTTTTTTTGAAGTCAGTTAAAAAGAATAGAAATGTCCAAACTTTTCGAGCTAATTTTGGATATGAAATACAATCATTTATGCTACTAATTACGGAAAAATCTTTTTGAGTCACCAGCAATTTACTGTTTCACATAAATCGTTTATAGGTAAAAAATAGTAGAGGGTCCAATTGCGGTCCTTGGGACGCCCCCGAGAAAATTAAATATTTTTGAGTTTTATAGCCATTATGTAAAAAATACTGCATTATTCAAAAATCGAAAAAGTTTTAACTTCGAAATTAAGACTCCATGATGCATTGTAATAGAATAAATAAAAAAAGAAGAACGTGTGTATTTTTAGACTATATATACTACTATTTTGTTCTGTATATTTATATATTTTGTTATTGAAGGAAAAGTGAATAACGGCACTAGGTAAAAGGGACGCTGTCAAATGCAATTTTCATCTAAATATAAACGTCGCAGAGTATTTAGCTTTATTGTTTTCCGTTGGGTAAATTGACCTTTTCGAATTCCTTACCTATAAACATAATTATCAACAGCTCAATTTCATTCATTTTAATATTACGTTCCAATTCAATAGAAACCATAAAATATTGTTTGTTTTCTAGATTTTTTGTTTTGAGAATATTTATTTAAAATGTAATGTTTTTTGTTGTAGATATTATCTATGATATATATTTAAATCAAAACAAAAATATAATATTAATAATAATAATAATAATAATAATAATAATAATAATGATGTTATTGATGTAATTGTGATAATATAATTTTGTAAAATATTTTCTTATTAGAAATATATCCACTCCTCTGGCTAAAACAAAATCCTACCGAAATACCACTCGACTCACGTCTTGTGGTATTTTAAGGACGATTTTGTTTCGTGAAATTTAGATGCATATTTTCCAGAGAAATAACAAACTGTTCTCAAAAAATTCTCACCTTCTGTGGTATTAACCTTGATAACCAAAGCATGTCTGCTAATGCTACTAATCACAACCTCACAAAACACATCGACGTACGTCATCATTTTATACGTATCTGTACTTCTAATGAAGAATTTATTATTATAAAATACATGCCAACCAATGACAAAAGGTCTAGCATAAATAAAACTACGAAAGAGTAGAGCTGCCATAATATATTGCGAAATATTTTTAGTAAAATTTTTTCTGTAAATTTATACTTTTTCTATAAATTTACACTTTTCTGTAAATTTATATTTTTTCTGTAAATTTTCAGTTTTTATGTAAATTGACACTTTTTCTAAAAAATAAAATTTTAGGTGTAGGTTCCCTGGGGGTGAGGGGGTTGAAAGTAATACGACAACAAATGCCTCAACAATTGTCCCCCTTGATATGTAAATTGACGTTTTTCGCTAAATTTTCATACTATCATTTGTAGAGCCAATATTAAATTGATACCCTGTATGTATTTCGTCGAAGCCGTGGTGTCGTATTGCTGAGTAGTAGTAAATTTCGCATGAAATTTACAGAAAAAGTGTAATTTGTAAGAAAAACTGTTTTACAGAAAAAGTGTATATTTACAGAAAAAGTGTATATTTACAGAAAAAAGTGTATTTTTTTTATATTTCGAAATATGGTAAACACGAGAACTGTCTGAGAAATATCGGCATGATTTGAGTAGATATTGCATTATTGGAAAGTTATTCTATATTTAAATCAAAATAAAAATATAACAATACACAGTATATCCTAATAATGATGCTTTAATTAATGTAATTGGTCAAAATATAATTTTGTAAAAGTCTTTTTTCTTATTATAAATATACTCATCTGGATAAAACAATCCATTCCATCATCCGCAAAAGTTTAGCCCTGGTGGACTTTCTAAAGATTAAAATGACTTTATTGTTTCTGCAGGTCCTAAACCTGACCTATGACTCATTAAGATATCGACTTTTATTCACTGAGCATAAGAACTTGATGACTTCAGTTATTTCTGTCGATTTGTTCCTACATATTTTTTTTTATTGAGAATAAATACTTAAATCAATATTTTATTCTATTTTCAGTTCTCATCTTACCGACAAGAATATGAAAAAAATCCAAGTAAGTATATAATAATTGTAGATGTACAAGCACACGATTTTGTTATATTTCTTTTAAATAATTTTATACACAAGCAATATAAATATTACACGCTTGTCTCACACACTTTTTTAAATGTTTTTGTAAATATTTTTTAATAATTAACTCCTTAGCGATAGAAACGTCAATTCGAGTTGGACGATGTCACTTTGAATCGTTACTAATATTAGTAATATTCAAAAAAAATAAGTTACGTTTCCTCAAATCATTAAATAATTAAATATTCGTTAACAATTTTCTAGAAAACCTATATATGGAATCAATAGAAAGACATGTAAAGAATGTTACTTTACCAAGAAAAAATAATTAAATAACGTTCGTGAAATATCGTCCAACTACATTATAATGACGTTTCTATCTTTAAGAAATTTAAAGATGCTTTGTGAATTAAGCTATTAGAGGTGTAGGTTTTTAAAATAATTTTACTACAAATATATTTATTTGAAAAATGAATGATAATATCTCGGTACCTACATAGTGGCAATCGAATTCATTCATAGAAACAATTCGGATTAAAATTCATTACGGTGAAAAAAACAGATGTCAAACTTTGTTACAAGCTTGGTACATATATTTTACATATAGAAGAACTTTTCTTAAGATGTCTTTCTTGTTTACTAAAATTCTGAACTACATATGTTATTATTACAATACTCCACTCTTCAAAAAAAATGTTTATACCTACTTGAATGTTCTTTTTTGATATTAATGTCGCAGCTTTAACTTCACACTAGTTAATATTTAGACCAGAGCATACTGGCGCATTCGTTTGCAAAATTGTTTTAATTCGTAATTTTTTTTTTTTAAATGTCCGAAGCCTTTCCTGATTATAAAAGTGTAAGATGACACTCGATATCTGTTGATGTTATTGTTTAAGCAACGAAAAATTATTTAGGCCAGAAAAAATGCATTTTTTGTAATGAACTATTTTTTTTATATTCTTTAGGATATTTCGAATAAAAAAGTCCTTACGCCCATCATCGTATCTTAAACCCTTTAATTGTTATGAATGTTTTAAAATCCGAAATTGACAAAAATTCTAGTTTTATTGAATTAAATAATATACCTTAAAATTTAAATTGCTATAATTTTAAATTTTTTACCGAATATTCAAACTATAATAAATAAAATTACCTAAATAAATTTTCAAAATTTTGTTTATTGTTATGTTTTTTTTTACGTTATAATAATATGCTTCCTACGCGCGTGTACTTTTAGAGAGAAGTACTTCTATCTCACTTCCAACTCAATGTATAAGATGGGTAAGAGAAAGCCCGATGACGCGCTAAATCAATTTTTTGCTGTTTTTCAGCGGTAATAAATTAAAAAAAATTATTAACATTTTTCATAACACTTTGTTATATTTGCCGATTAATAGTTTTGTATCATGTGATTTTTTTTACTTTTTTAGATACTTTCGATAACTTTTTTATTCATTGAAGTTAATAGAATTGTTCCATCCACAAAAAAAATCATTGCCAAGAGCTGTCTAAAAAATAAATTTTTCTCACTTTTTTTGAAGACAAACATACCTGCCGTAATTCAAGGGAAATTTCTACCTGTTACGATGAGCATAGTTGACTCACCTGGTTTTTATTTTAAAACACAGTTCGCAATATATTCAATTTTTTCTATGGTTGTTAATTCTTTTCCACTATGATTATTTGATAGTAATATTCATTTATTAAGAAAATTTTTACATAAAATTATAGTTTGTACATCTAACTAGTTTTTACATGAAACTGATTTCGTTGCACAATTTTTTTTACAGTTACACAGTCTTCAGGTAATGGCGGTTTTGTTAAATACCGTGGCTTTATTTGGTTATCACAGAAAACAACCAAAACCAGAGAAATCTAAAGGTTCATATTGAAATTGATTTGAATTCCTCCAAATATAAGTCTGAAACGAAGCTTGTAAAGTATGCAATTTCAAAGCATCCGACGTGCATGGAAAATTTTTTTTTCCTTATTTTTGTTAAATGGAGAAAGGCTTGGATATTTTTGAAATCATTAAATTTTATAACCCCAGTAAGCCTACTATGTTCATTGTAACAGATAGAAATTTTTCACGGATCACGTCAAGTGCATTTGGCCTTTTTATCGTATTGAAAAAAAAAAGGTTGAAGAAGATTTTACTTCTCAGGCAGTATCCAACAATAATTTTTTCATGAATAAAAATAAATATTAAAAATAAATGTTTCTGTTAACTTTAATAAATAAAAAAAGTTATCAAAAGTATCTAAAAAAGTAAAAAAAATCACATGATACAAAACTATTAATCGGAAAATATAACAAAGTGTTATGAAAAATGTTAATAATAATTTTTTTAAACTTATTACCTCTGAAAAACAGCAAAAAATTGATTCAGCGCGTCATCGGGCTTTCTCTTACCCATCTTATACATTGAGTTGGAAGTGAGATAGAAGTACTTCTCTCTAAAAGTACACGCGCGCAGGAAGCATATTGTTATAACGTAAAAAAAACATACCAACAAACAAAATTTTGAAAATTTATTGAGGTTATTTTGTTTATTATAGTTTGAATATTCGGTAAAAAATTTAAAATTATGGCATTTAAAATTTTAAGGTATATTATTTAATTCAAGAAAATTCGAATTTTCGTCAATTTCGGATTTTAAAACATTCATAACAATTAAAGGGTTTAAGATACGATGATGGGCGTAAGGACTTTTTTATTCGAAATATCCTAAAGAATATAAAAAAAATTAATTCATTGCAAAAAATGCATTTTTTCTGGCTTAATTAATTTTTCGTTGTTTAAACAATAACATCAACAGATATCGAGTGTCATCTTACACTTTTATAATCAGGAAAGCCTTCCGGACATTTAAAAAAAAATTACGAATTAAAACAATTTTGCAAACGAAGGCGCCATTATGCCCTGCATTAATTTGGATTTTTAATAATATGAAGTAAGCGTTTTGTGATATCACAAACTGATCAATTACAAAAGTTCATGTTCATTTGTTCGATTGTTCAAAAGATTATAATTTTAATAGTAAAACTTCTTCCATTGCTAGTAGTCCGGGATACAAAATTGGTAAGCAAAAAATATACCTGTAAAATGTAACTCGAAATATTCACTAATTTCAGTTTTATTACACAAGGAGTCTGAGGCTCTATGAGGGTCAAAAATTGTCCGACACACCCATTCAAAATAAAAAGACGAAATATTTTGATTCGTAATAGGTAAAAGGCTCGATACCGGGATGATCTAAATTGAAACTAAATTGATGCTAAGGGGGGAAAGAATGGAAAAAGGTTCTTTTTATTAGGGATATAAATTGATGGAATACGAAATCTATTAGCTTTACTTATAGATTGATATTCGACTTAGGTTGTGAATCTTTTCGGCTTGATTTTAGTCAAATATAAAACTGATTTCAAAACGTTTTAGGATATTCAACAACAGTATAGGGGAGAGTGGGCTACCTTGAGAGATTTTTTCGTTTTTCTCATAGAAGGCATATCTTATGATTTTTTAAATACCAAAACTAGACAGCTGTTCCGAAATTAGTTACGAAGCATAACATAATTCAAATAGCATTAACACAGTTTCATTTTTGAATCATTTTTTAAACTTACATTTTGTCCCAAGCTGGCCTAAGCTATGGGTCGCCTAAGATATACTGATAATCAATACAAATCAAACATGTTTCTTTATTTGGGTAAACTATAAAAACAAGCAATACTAGCCTATAAACATTTACCGAATTTCAATATTTTCAAAATTGATACCAAATGAGATGTATAACTATTGTCGTTTGCTATTTCCACAACTGTCTGATGGTGATAAAACACATTTGATAGTATATTCTGTAACAGGGTTGGGAATGAAAATTCAGTACGAGTATTGGATTTTCATTCCAAAAGAATAACAGACTGTACTTTATCCACGGCCACAGACACACTAGGCGTTGAATATAGTAAAATGAAACTTTAAACAAAATAAAATATATAACTTATGTTAGGCAAGTTTTTATTTAAATTGTTTGCATAATTTGTCAGTTCAGGAGAAATATCAAATTCCATATAAGGATCATTATATTCACCAATTTTTGAATTTAAGTTCGACTTAACAAACTCCGCTTATCTATATTCAGGCTAATTCAAACTAAAGATTAATACGTCGCGTAAAACTGTCAGTCATGTCATGACTATCTACGATGCGGGCTTGTTATTCGCAGCTTTTGGCTAGTAGCTATTACATAATGAACATTCTGTCTCTAGAGTTAGAATGAAATAAATGTACTCGTAAAATACATAAAAAGATCAGCATTTTCTCTCAATCATAAGAACGAGATTGTTTTCTTTCTGGTATTATAAGTGATTTCGGAAGAACTACATTCAGTAGTGACCATGATAATATAATTTTCTTTAATTAAAGCGATATATTCTATTTGGGGAAATACGACGGTTTTTAACTTTAGTAGTGCAGAAAGGTGACTTCAAATTTAAATTTTACATGCCAAATATTTTTCCTACATAGAACACAAATTTGTTTTAATTAATTGCATAATACGTAAGAGTTTACTTTAGATTTATCTTAGTATTTGTCCAACTCAAATTTATTAAATGACTTTGCATCTGTAGACTCGGAAACAAATGTTATGTTGTCAGTGTCAGAAGGGGATAATAAAACCAATATTATCTTTTTTGTCCCTTTAACTGCATATAGGGATGATTTTCGTTTCTTTTCAGTCTCTTTCGTCTCTATTTTAAACTTTTCAGGCGTATTAGTTGCAATCTTGCTTCTATCTTACTTCTTATAATTCCAAATAGTTGTTCTGGGCTTTTAAAACCACTTCTTTCCTCTTGATTAGTTTCATTGTATCTTAAAGCTACTTTCTACATCTTTCTTCTCCAGCAGTAAGACTTCTATCTTGTGTGGATTGATAGCGTCAATATTTCGTATTTGACGTCATTATTTTTAGACTCA